ACCTCTTCCAGCAGCAACCTTAGTTTTTCCCAGGAGGTCTCCCATCCAGGTACTGACCAGGCTCACACCTGCTTAGCTTCAGTGGGTTGCCAGTTGTGAATTGCAGAGTGATAGGCTAAATAATGGTTCTGTTGTTTTTTTGTACATAACTCGAGAATTATATTTTTAGGTGCTATATTGTGCGTGTCTTGTTGCACAGTGCAAACCTTAAACTGGATGTTCAGTTTCTTAATACCAAAAAGTTTTCCATAGTTCTCCAGTGACTTGAGCAGCTTCCTGGCATGTGTCCTGTGTTTTGACAGAACTATTCATTCAATAGCAGTACCCGTGTGAAGATAACTGAACTGTTCTCCATGTCAGAACATCTTAAAAAGAACACAGAATTGTAGAGTGATTAATGTGGACAATGTGAGTCATTTAGTTCACTCCATCTTGTTGTAGGAGGGGCATCCATGGAATGTTTCCACTGCATCTAGCAGCCCTTAGTGGCTTTTCTGACTGCTGCAGGAAGCTGCTTTCATCAGGTAAGTGTCTTATCCCAGAGGATTTTCGAAAACCACACAATTTAATTTTATGTGTTGTCATCTAATTAGAATATATTTTGAGAGTGTGGATTTGTATGTTTGAACCTCTTTCATTGTGGGTTGGCTTCTCACTTGTCCTGATTAGACTGGAATTGCACATATATACAGGTTGTGTAGTTTCTCTACTCTGATTTATCTGAATATCTTTTTTGAAGGAAACTGCTTTGCTTTCCTTCTGAACCAAAACAGGCTTGATGGGCTGAATGGCCTCCTGTTTTTTGTAAACTTTCATGCTCTCTGTTAGATGATCTCTCTTCATTTGCTCCACAGATGGTGAGCATGCCTAACAGCCCTGCAAAGCACTACCCATACAATAGTGATTTTGAATATTTTGACAGTAATCCTGATTTCAGTGTGTCATCCTATATTTTTTTTGCAGGCTTTGACATTGATACGCCAGATAATTTTGGGAGAACCTGTTTACATGCTGCGGCAGCTGGGGGGTAAGGTTTTATTTCAGCTGAGTAAGGATGATTTTGAGAGGTGGAGTTAGGGAGAAACATCACTTCCTGAGCTGTAAGTTAAGTAACAGGCATTAATGAGTGTCTTGATTGCTTTCCCTAAAACATAATCTAACTGTGACTTTACTGATTATTCTTTATGAATGGTGCATTCTGTGCTGTCATCACAACTTTTACATGAAGCTAGGGGTTAATTCAAATATAGAATCTGCTAGGATGAACTGTAAACAACTCCCTTTGATTTTAATTTTAGTTCTATGTTTTTTTTAATTATGAAATTTGTTTATAGGAATAACATGATCAAAACAAAAAAACTTTACAGTGCAGAATTACAGAATTAATCTCTGAATAATTTCATAGCGTTAGTTTGTGACAGCATGTATTTGTTAGACATTGTGTGGCATTGTGTTGTACAAAATATGCTTTGTGTTGTACAAAATATGCTTTAATGTAATTAAAATACCCTAAAATGTTAGTTATATTTAAGCAGAAGTATAATGAGTGCATATTGGCTTGGTGGAGGTTAAATTATTGTAGCTTAATATATTATCTTTTAAGAGTGAACTGCAATACCTAGTTTCCTTTTTGGAAGTTAGGAAATTTCTATATGTAGTGCACACTGTTCAAAGTTGAAGGATGTTCTTGTGGTCATCCAGACCACATTACATTACCTATAAACCATTTTGTAATTTAACACAAATTTAGTATTTTTAAGTGATAACTTTGCATTTGTTTTGATTCTATGTTTTTTCTTAAAATAGGAACTTGGAGTGTTTAAACCTTTTGCTTAACACTGGAGCAGATTTCAACAAAAAAGACAAATTTGGAAGGTAAATTGCTTCTTTGCAAAGTGTTTATAGATTAGACATCTATTAAAAATTCTTTTTTGCTGTTATTGAGAATTTGAATTTAAAAGGGTTTTTAATCTGTAATTTGTTATTCATTATAACCAAATGGTAATGAAGTGTCTTTACCTTAGAATAAAAAAAACTTGCTACCCATTTATTGTCAGTTTTACTTGTAACACCAAGGACTATGCCTTGATAAGACTGAGGTGCAAATGTGTATTAAATAATTTGTGTCTTGAATTCTGCCTGGTTCCTTTTTTTGCACCTTAAAAAGAAAATTAAAAACAAAATATTGATTTGAGACCATTGCTTTTAGGCATTTTATAACATATTTAAAATGTCCTTTTACACTGAATTAGTGAGATTTAAAATAATGCAGGTTGATTTTCTTCCATTTTTGGTCTTTTACAAGTAGTCCATGGTCCAACAAAGTGTTTTAATGTTGTTAAAACTGATGGACAACCCCGTTATGATTTACGTATGCAAAGTGTATCAACAATAAGAAACCACAGTTGAATCATTATACTTGGCTGTTCCTTTGTGCTCTGCTGGGGAGTTAGGTAATCAACTTCTCTATTCTGTATAAATCAATCAACTTCAGTAAAACACAATAGCACCCTATGGGAAAAGCAATGTGAAACAGATTAGCAAAGGCCAATTTAAAAAATGTTCCTCTCAAAGAATCATTAAAACGTATTAATACATTGTTTTATTCTTCCTGCAGGACCCCTCTGCATTATGCTGCTGCCAACTGCAACTACCAGTGCCTGTTTGCTCTTGTAGGATCTGGAGCAAGTGTGAATGACCTTGATGAAAGAGGTTGCACACCACTGCACTATGCAGCTGCATCAGACACAGATGGAAAGTGAGTGATTCACAGCCTTGGAAATTCAAGCTGATTGACACAGAGCTGACGTACCAGTCACTTTGAATTCTATCCCAAGACCAGAGTTGCTGAGGCAGCAAGCATTGCCATTTCCTTTGAGAAAGGATCAACAGAATGCAGTTGTTAATTATAGTAATGCAGCATGAGAAAAATAAGGGACTAACACACAAAGGAGGGTTATCTATTTTTTTGTACTTGACATGAGCACTGTTTTACAAGAATAAATGGTTGATGCATTGAGTTTTGAATGCAGAATACTGACACGGAACAGAATTTATTGATGTCAACTGTCCACTTTTCTTAAAAACCTTTGCGATGTCCATTTCTAATAGTGTCTGTTTTTTTAAATAATAAAAAGCTTACTGTATGTAATACTAATATTTAGGCTTATTGCTGTAATTATCTGTGGTTAGCATTATTAATTTTAGTTCATGTGGGTAGCTGCGTCAGCATGCGTAGGCTGCAAAGGAACAAGTAATAGGTTTATTCCATGCTGAAAAGAGAAGAAAGAAAACACAATGTTTCGGCCGTGGAGCCTTCAGGTTTCACACCTCTCCTCAGCTCTCTCGACCTCAAACCACTTGATTGGCCAATCTGCCTCTCCCCTGCTCCTGCCTCCTCCTCTCTCCTGGCTTCTGTTTCCCAATGTTATATTATCTTTGCTGACTGCCCTATCTTTCTTACACCCGAAGAAGGCTACATAGCTGAAACTTTGTTTTCTTTCTTCTCTTTTCAGCATCTAATACACCTATTACTTGTTCCTTATTCATTTTATTTTTTACATGAAAGATATTTATGCAGGTAGCATGGTGGCACAGTGGTTAGCATTGTTGTCTAGCAGCACTGGTGCCCTGGGTTAAATTCCTGGGGTGCTGTCTGTGTGGAATTTGTCTATTTTTCCTGTGTTCATGTGGGTTTTTGCTGGGCGCTCTGGTTTCCTACCCCAGTCCAAAAACCTACTAGTAGGTTAATTGGTTTTTTGAAAACTGACCCTGGTGTGTGTGTCTGTGTGCCCTGCAATGGACTGGTGTCCTGTCCAGGGTGTCTCTAGCCTTGCGGCCATTGCTTGCTGAGACAGGCTCCAGTTCCCTCATGACCCTAAATTGGATAAAGCTGTGCGAAAATGGATGGATGCTCCTTATCTGTCTTGTCTGTTGCATTTGAACAGAACTATATTCTAAAAAAAGGACTAATAAATGACAAAGAAAGCCTGTGCACAGTCAGCAGGGTGTAACACCATTGATCAGGCAAGAAGAAAGACTTCTTGGGTGGATATTTGCAAGCCTATAGCTAGAAAATATATTTATCAAAGTGAACAGATTTTCACTTGGGAATTGTGTTTAAAAGAGCAAAGGTACTAAATCATTCATAAACAATTGGTATGTTCCTTCATTACAAAATAATGTGATTAAAGCAAAAGCAAGTACTCTCTCAATACGTATTACTCTATCAGCGTTTTTATCTCAAACCAGGGAGATTTTGGCCATATTGGCTTGTGGGGGGGTCAGTGTTCTGAAATTGTGTTGTACTTACAGTAAGTTAAGAACATGTAAAGTTTACAGATCCCTACAAAACTGAAGAAACTTACTAATTCTCTTATATTGTCATATGTTCTCAAATGTTTTTCAGTTTAGAAGCACTCAAGTTTAGTTTTGTTTCCCAACAATTTGTTTTTCACCAATTTTCTCTCTGTAAACTTAGTTTTATGATTTACATGTAAAATACCTTTAATTCTCAGTGTAAATCTTTTTGTTGACTGTATTTTAATGATGGGGTGCTGTAGGGCCATTCTATATAGGTCTGCTTCTGTGATTCTGATGTTATTGAATCTTCCATAGGTGCCTGGAGTATTTACTCCGGAATGATGCAAATCCAGGGATTCGAGATAAGCATGGATATAATGCTGTGCATTACGCGGCTGCTTATGGACATCGCTTATGTCTTGAGTTGGTAAGTCATGTCCTGTATTGTAATCAATGTTTCCAGTGAAGACAGTCCCAGAGTTTGTCATACCTGGTTGTTTCAGTCAAATATTTTTGTAGTAGTATTCCTTATGTAAAGCTGAGACTGAAGAATACATCAGAAAAGCTTAATATTCCAGAAAGTAACACTTTTTATATGGATTTGTTTTTACATGAGCCTTCATAATCTCCAAGTGTGATTATGTACAGTAGGTCACTGGAGATCACGGTTTCTGAAGAGCTTTTATTCTATTTCAGATTGCAAGCGAAACACCTCTAGATGTGGTAAGTATCGACTGTTCATAGATCTTGGTATTAGTTGTTGCAAACGTATTTGCATTCTAAATACAGTATAGAGTAAAGTCTTAGAAAACTCCAGTTATGTACTATGATTTGTTGGTAGATGATGGAATTAAATATTTTGGTAAATTTGCGGCCTGATTACACTGATTTTTACAAGTTTTATTTTGGAAATTAACTATAGTTGGTTTGGATTTACTGTATCTTGTTTCTTATTGCTGTTACATTTAGATGATGCTTGGTTAAGAATGACTAATCTATCACTAATAGGAAATGCACAGAGAATTAGTTGTATGTTAGCATAACTGGTTCCACATTTAACATAGATCAAAATATATCATGTAATTTAACATGTAGGAAATATGTTTAAATCTGGAAATGAACTTTATTATAAATCACTTATTTCAATAATGGCTGTCTCCTTCTGAGAAGCTCAATATTTAACAGATTTATCAGTGTTAAGTTACTAATCAGTTACTTCTGGTATTTGGTTGTAAGATCAGTGGTATTGGTAAACCATTTAAGAATCTTTTATTTCTGAATGAAGTGCCTTGATATTTCTTAATCAGTATGAAATGTTTTTAACTTAATTTAGTGGCAGATATATGTAATTTGACATTGTTATATGGTATGTCTAACAGTTAATGGTTAGATGGAAAAGGGCCAAATAAAGACAATTCTACTGTTTTTAATGTTTTTATGCCCAGTTAATGGAGACTTCTGGGGCGGACATATTAAATGACTCTGATGCAAGAGCACCCATTAGTCCATTACACTTAGCGGTGAGTGAAATACTTTGTTCATTTCGACATGTAGTTTTGATGAGATTTATAGTCTTGTACATTTTACAGTTTACCAAGTATGACTTGTCTGTGAATGTTTCTGTGTTTCGTTGGATATTGTTTCTTAAATCCTTTGTAATTGTTTTAGAATGTAAGTTAGGAAGGTTACTTTTGAAGAGTAGCGCTCACCCATGAAATATCATAACCTACAGCAATCAACTGTTAAACTTGGATTTCATTCCTGAGGCAGCCAGCTACATTGCTGTCTAAACTCATGCAAACTCAGTTCAAACAGAACCCTCCAGGAATGAAATGCAGGCACCACTGTGTCCAGTTTACATCATAGCTTTGATTGAATTTAATGAAGTGCAACTTTGAGTGAAAGTTATGTGGTATCTATGATGTTTCAGAGATTTAAAAGTTATAGCATTTTTTTATTTTCATTGTAGGCTTACCATGGTCATCACCAGGCCTTGGAGGTGCTTGTTCAGTCCTTGCTTGATCTTGATGTCAGAAACAGTAATGGTCGGACACCACTGGACTTGGCAGCTTTCAAGGGCCACGTAGAGTGTGTGGATGTGCTAATTAATCAAGGCGCATCAATACTTGTCAAAGATTATACCTTGAAGAGGACGCCCATCCACGCAGCCGGTACTTTGTCTTTTTGGCAAAATTCCTGTTATATGCCATTCTGTTTTAAGAAGTCCATTAGATTACAGTGGTAAACAGAGCATGAAGTAGCAGTAATATCCTGCTGTGTTGTGATGAAAGACACTATCTTTCGTGTAATTCTCAAGTTAAATTGTTTTGGTTATACTGCTGCAAATTAGCTCATTGTGTAATGAGCTAATCAATTTTAGGTTAAATCTATATTTAAAACCTAATTATATCTATAAAAATATTTTACCTTAAAAGTGTTTGCTTATGTAAGATTTTCTTTCCTTTAGCCACTAATGGACATTCAGAGTGTTTGCGGCTGCTGATTGGCAATGCAGACCTTCAGACTGCTGTAGACATTCAAGATGGAAACGGACAGTAAGTTTAGGAATTAATCTAATTTACATCTTTATTTGCTCTTAATGTTCTGTTGCCTAATATACTTCTTGTGTTATAATGAAAACCTTATCACTTGATGCAGTACAGTAGAGTCTGGACATCTGCAAATTCTACATTCACAAGTTCGCTTGTTTTCGGTTCAATCTGGCTGAGGGGGGTCTTGAATGGAAGAAGAGCAAAGTGGGATGAAACTGAGCTGAACTTTAAGAGGAACTTTCAAACTGGTCGTGCAACAGGCAAGGATTGTGAGACTAAGTCTAAGTAGTGAGTGAGCCCTGTCCACACCCATATACCCACTACCTAGTGTCCGCATCCCAACATGGTCTTGTTTTTAAATTGTAATGAAGATGTAACGGTTCCTTGTGAGTGGCATGGGGGACAGGCTGGAAATAACGTTATAGGCTCACTGACAGTTTTATTGCCCTTTTCCTTACAGTGGGGTATGATAGTTATGGAGCAGGGAAATAGCTGGGAAGGCAGAGAGAAAAAGTACAAGTGTCTGTTGGACGTAGAGGGAGGATTAATGTTGTGTATTTAGGCTGATTACTGTAAATTTGTGATGACTGTTGTCTTAGTGGATCAGTGCTATTTTAATTAACTGAAAGCCAGTGCACTAGTACTTTAATTATCATATAGGTAAGGGTTATTTATGTATTTTAACAATGGATACTATGTAATGTTGTACATTTTGTAACGGTATGGGGTGGACGTGGATATATGCAAATTGGGAAATAGGTAATGATTCTCTGCACCAAACCCTTGCACATGTTGAGTCCCTGCTGTATTAGAATTAAAATTGTTAGTTTTGTTTTTTCACAGAAACAACTGTTAATTTTTCTTGCCCTGGCTAGGACACCCTTGATGCTGTCTGTTTTAAGTGGACACACTGACTGTGTGTACTCACTGCTGAACAAGGGAGCAAATGTGAATGCCAAAGACAAGTGGGGAAGAACGGCTTTGCACAGAGGGGTAAGCGATATTTAGTGTCAGCCTTTAAATGAAAATTTAATGATCTCACTTTAAAGTGGTTAAGGGATGGTGCAGGCAGCTATAATATCCTCTTATCATATGGCTACAGTTGTGTTTTCTGTGTCCTCCCATGCACAGGTAAACTAAAGAACATAGGACTTTTCTACCGATAGCTGGAAAAAAATGTGTACACTGGTTGGTCTATGTTCTTTACAATTTTGCTGTCCTATTATTTACTTGTTTTAACTCCTCTCTTTTTTTCTCGACACACTGTGTTCTTATGTGTAGGCCCTTGTGATCAAATATATGCAAGTATGCTTAACTATTTAATTTGGCATGTAGGCAGTAACTGGGCATGAAGAATGTGTGGAGGCACTGCTCCAGCACAATGCCAACTTCCTTATTCGAGACTGCAAGGGACGGACAGCAGTGCATTTAGCAGCTGCATGTGGTCACATCGGTGTGCTGGGAGGGCTATTGCAGGCTGTGCAATCCATGGACACCGTTCCAGTCATTACAGACAATCGGGGCTACACACCGCTGCACTGGGCTTGCTACAATGGTACGTCATTACTAAAAAAATAATGAAGTTAAAATATATCTTTTGTTAATGTGTAGTCTCCATTATCAATGTTCAAAATGCTCATTTGGACTGAGCAGCATTTTTTCATTAACTGTTTTCAAAATTAGTTCACTCTTTAGTATATGTAGAAAGCTCTAAAACAGATTTCTTGTTGTACCATTAGACTATGGTGCCACCTAGTGGTTTGCCAAAACATTTTCAAGAAATGCAGTAAATTCAAGGTAGGCTCCAGGTCTATAGACCTTTATCCAGAATGTCCTATCCAATATACCCAGTTAGAATCACTGTGTGTGAATAGTCACGACCTCACACAGATAAAAATAAGGAAGTGGGTAGGACAACTCCCCCGATTGATGCACATTTGAGCCTCTTGTCAGGGTTCTGACATGTCCTGGAAAACCTGGAAATCTAAGATGCATATTTTAGGCCTGGAAAACACTTGGAAATGAGAAGAATGTCCTGGAGTAATTCTTTTGTAGTCTTTCAATGGATGTGATTAAATTGACTTAAATAGATATATTTAACAAACTGAAGATCACATGATTTTAGGAAGTTGTATTACAAAAAAAAATGAAAATAACAACCTGATACAAAAGTATTCTGCTTCATGAATACAACAATGCCTCCCTTTCTTGTCTCCCCTCACTACTTTGTGATGTTCCACTCTCCATTCACACTCAGACACACCCCCCCAATCACCTCCACATATATGTGGGGAAGAGAAGAGTGAGGTGTATCAGTGTCCAGAGTCACATCAGCTGTGGGAATAAAACAGGAAACATCAGAGATGTCTGTTGAGAATTACATGAAAATTGTACCTGAGAAATATGCAAGTCCCAAGAAAAAAATTACCCCCACCCCTCCACACCTGTTTTATTTTTCCAAAAGCAGATGTGGAGTGTAATAGTCTTTGAGTGCATTACAGTGGGTGGACAGCACACAAATCCACATATAGAAGGAGAGCACCAGCTTGCCTATATACCGACCGAATGTTCCAATTATAAACATCTGATGAAGGTGCATTTTCCTGCTAACAGAAACTACTTATAGTTGCTTGATGTAGTAGATGTAAACTTTATTAATTCCAACGCTTTTATGTACATTTGTGAAGTGCAGGATATAGAATTATAAAAAAAAAACAATGAATATTTATTACCTGGGTCTTTGCAGGAGTATTTGCAAATAGTAATATTTGCAGTAATTTGGTGTATTTGTTCAAATCCAAAACACCTACCCTTGAATTAGATGTGCATAATGTTTGTGGTTGTTGAAATATATTTAAGTACCTTAAGTTCAGAATATAAGTGATTTTTAAGGTGAAAGGACACGTTTGGCCAACTTTTTCATCTAATTGTTCGGATCTTTTTCCTTCCACTCATTTACGGTATACAGTGCCTTGCGAAAGTATTCGGCCCCCTTGAACTTTTCAACCTTTTGCCACATTTCAGGCTTCAAACATAAAGATATACATTTTTTAT